CCGTACATTGTGCACCATTCCACCGCCAAATCGCGAATCCATAGCGGAGAAGATGAAAACTCGGTTGTTTGCAAAAGTTGTAAAATATCTTCACGTTTTGCCATCAATCCTCCCCAAATTGTCAAGTGTAAGACCAATTGATTGCCACGATTGTCACCGAAGACTAGTTGCACTGTAGATACCAGTCCTACGCTGATCCCAATCTCCAAGTACTTAAAAGACGTTGACGTCAAGGCATATCTTCGCCCTAAAATACGGGCTGTACAACGAGATTGCGATACACTGTAAAAACATAAATAATTTAACGCGGTTGCAATACACAATTAAAGATAAATGATTGACAAGTAGATAATTATTGAGACTTCCTTTTTTTCTTGTACGGTGGAGCATCATCTTGCACGGGTACGTAATAGTTCATACGTTTTCCTTCAGCATTCCTGTGCATTCTTCTCAAAATAATATTTGTCCACTAAATGTCTTTGTTGCAAAACGACTGATGCAAGGAGCGACCAAGCACCGCTTTAAATACGTTTCAAAATTTCTCCCCACCAACCGAAAGCAGTGCATAATAATAATAATAATATAAATGAGACTCATCTAATTTTCATCTACATCTACTGTACAAATATATTTTATCAAATCATTCAACAAATCTCTTATACGGCGTCGTAGATAACCAATCGAATACTCATATATCGACATGTTTCGCGCCCATACTGCATCATCGAAAAAATCGATTTCCGATATTTATATCAAAAGTGCAGTCCAAAAGTATTCATGTAAGATCTCTCTCTTATGCGTCACTATGCAGCATTTTTATGCTGACATCGATTTGTAGTCGACAGTTAGATGCGCAAAAAATGTGAAACAGGATATTATTATTACAAATGAACACAATAAAATTCGCAGAAAATGTCAAACAAGATACTATTACGAAGATCATAGTAGTATACATATTTTGCACATTTGCAATCCCTCCCAAACGAGACACATTTTTGTTAGAGAGAAAGATGGATATATTCTGATGATATATATAAATTCAGAGTCGTACTATAACAATATGCACAGTAGCATTTGTAAATCTAGCGTGCACTTCATAAAAAAATTGAAGATTTTGCGCAAATTGAGATAGAATTGCGCGAGCAGTCGGCTCGACTGAGATCGCGAAACGAATACGACGCGTGGGTGCAAAAGTGTGACGAGTGTCTAGAGTTGTTGGAAGAACATAGTCGGGCTAAACGACTGCGATTATCGATCGGTATTAGACAGTCATTGATTGCTCAAATCGCGCAATTCGAGGGTTTAAAAAATACGTTGCGCACACGTTTCGTTCATGCGGGTGCAGAACACAGTATGAGAGATACAGGACTCGTTTGGCGCGAGGTCGATATCGCGTTCGATAACCGCATACTGACCGGAATTGTCATCAATGCGAACCACATCGAACCTCGCCAATTTCTCAAGGATGCAAAGAATATGGTGCTTGAGCGCATACGGGATACAATGGAGAGACATGTAAACGTGAAAGTAAACACTGCGTTTAACGGTGAGTTTGTCGCGGGTAAAAAACGTGCGGTAAAGAGCATCGCTACGAAAAATTGTGAACTCTTTTCCATATCCAACTTAGAGGATTGTTACGAGCGACGCATTGTCGAGCCCACATTAGCATCGTTGGAGGAATTCCACGAACGCGATAGCGGGTGGGCATTATGGCGAATACTCAATCTTACAATCAATGCGAACAAATACAATCCGTTGCACGCGGGATGTCACTTTGAGTTACCGCGTGTGATACAACTGAAGCGGGCTGTGATCAATGTCAAATCTCCGGAAAATGCATGTTTCGTGTGCGCAATATTGCGGCTCTGTATCCAGCCGAATGATACGCAGATCATGCATCATTGTATCCCCATTACATGAACGTGCTCAATCTTCAAGACATTGAGTCCCCCATGAAAATTAATCAAATTTGAACAAGATTTGAACTATTAAACTATATATCCATCAATGTATATGGCATCATGGGAAAAAAGAACAAAGTTATTGTTCCAATACGTCTCAGCGACGAAAAGAGAGAAAAGCATGTCAACTTGCTGCACATTTCGGATCCTCGAGATCACAACACGGGACACTTCGCTTCGATCAAGGACTTATCCAGGCTCGTGAGCTCGCAGTTGAACAAGTATAAAAGCAGATAATACATTTGCGATCGGTAAGTACATTTCACGAATTCATTGTATCAGAAGTATGCAATAAGACGATAAAAATTGCAATGTTTGTAAGTGTCTGCACTACTTCCATTCCAACGAGAAGCTGGAGAGTCACGCAGTACACTGCCAAAAAATTAACGACTGTGCCATCATTCTGCCCAGCAAAGACAATAAATGGCTGAGTTTTAGCAATCACAGCAGGAAGGAGCGAGTTCCCTTTGTGATATATGCCGACCTAGAGTGCACACTGGAGAAGACGGCAAGGAATGGAGAGGATCGCAATTTGTACACATACCAACATCACACCATGGTTCGTCGGGCAACTCGAAGAAATAGCACACCTCGTAAAAGTAATATTATCATCCAATGTCCCCATGGAAACTTTGACGAAAGAACAGTGGGCGACATTTTGCAACGCAACACAATGTCACGTGTGTGAGAAATCATTCCAGCAGAGGATT